GTACAGTACAGGAATAATTTCAATTGGTTCCAGAACCTTGTGAGGGCCAATGAAAATCGAGAAAATTTATTTTAAAAATTATTTCTAGGACTAAAATCCAGAAGAATTTTCCTAAGAAAATATAAAATGAACAGTAATTCAGGTGTTGAATAATTCATTTTTGTCCTGTATCTCTAAAAAAAATGGTTCACTACGTGCTGTGCCACATTTAGTTCAGAAATGTTTAAAAAATATATTTTCAATGCAAACACTGCAATGAAAGAAAAGCAGATTGAGAGAATTATCAAGAAATTGCTCAGCAAAAATAAAACACAAATGCCAAAATAAAACGGAAAATGACGTGAAATTATTTTACTGAATGATTTCAACCTCAATAATTGCAATAAGACAAGAAACATTCACTGGGAAAGATCAACTGCTGATCCCAGGGACAGGGGCCAGACATTTTTGGGGGTACACATTCATATCCACTCAAGTTTGTAGGCAGGGTCAGGGTTTGTTAGCCGGATCTAAAGTTTGTCAACTGGAAAGTTTGTTAGCCGGGACGAACGAGTGGCGGAGGGGAAAAAGAAAAAAGACGGCCAGCACATTCACCGGGGAAAAAGGCCACATCACCTCATCATCTGCTACGTGTGTCTGTTTCGTCAGTCAGTCAGCGAAGAGAAATCATCACGAGTTAATCATCGATCACCTCTTTTTGCATTCAAGCAGGTCCGGGTTAAAAACAACAACAAACTGATTGGGGAAAAAATCCAATCGAAGAGCGCCAACAAAAATTAACCCCAGTCAAAGAAAAAAAAACCTAGAACCCATTTCAAATGTATCGCACCGACGCAGGACAAGAGTTGAATCCAAGCTTTTTGAAACTATCAAGGATGAAAGTGCGTGTACTGTACTCACTCACAAGAGAGCCCTCACCAAGATTGCGAAAGATGACACAAAATGAGCACAGGGAAGATCGCAAAAAAATAATTAAATCATAAAAAAGCATCGAGACAACGACAACGAAACACGAAGATTGATTCGTCAGTCTGTCGTTTCCCTTTTTCGAATTTTGTAAGCGAAATTCATAGACCGCAATATAAGCATTTCCACAATATATTTTTTTGTGCCTCACTTCATGCCAAAATATTAGATCATGCGTGATTTTCTTCTGCACTGTTATTTCCTTAGCGATAAAGTTGAGAAAAATTACGTAATTCAACTTCTCGAGTACCGTTTTCCCAAGTTTTGGTCGAAAGGAGAATCCATTAAATACGAGGGGTTACACATTTCCCCGCGGACTCATTTCAGCAAACAAGGGCTGACATGTTTCCGCGCGGAATCGTTTTAATCCGGACATGAAATGATCTCGACACCAGGGATTTTTTTTTTTCAACGTTTTTCTAATGTTCACCCAGAGGTTAGGCAGACAGTTTTTCAATGTAATTTCAGCCAATTTGATCACACTTCTCAGCCCTTTTGATCCATGTGGCGAAACAGAAGCAGTGGTTCCTCCGATGACAATACCCCCAGGCAACAAGGCGAAGTCCATTGCCAGAGGAATCGGGCCTGAACGTCTTGGCATCACCACCCTACTCCCCTCACCTGGCCTCCTCAGACTTTTGGCTCTTTCCAAAGCTGATGGAGCCCTTATACGAGAGAGCAACACTTTCAAACCAGTAATAAGTTTGTTGCTGCTGCTGTTCCGGGGGAGGTTCAACAATCAACATTCTACAGTACAACTGAATACTTCGAGGCCTGTCTCAACACATGGATCAGAAGGGCTGCCAAGTGCGAACAAACCGGTGGTGATTACGTTGGAGAAGGTGTCTGCCGGGCCACTTGGAGTTATTGGACATGAGAAAAATGTTTTTCAAAAAATCCCTGGTGTTCAAATCATTTCAAGTACGCACTAAAACGATTCCGCGCGGAACCGTGTAAACCCTCCTATATTCCCATTGAAGTCCGCGGGAAAACGTGATCCGGCATGCGGACGTTTTAAAATAGGGACAAGGTCCAAGCACCAATGACGTCCGCATCTCGGGGCCACACTGTTGAGACACTGTACAGTACATTACGCCATTCACAACAACAAAAAAACCTTTGAACCAACCCTCGCATTTTTCCTTCCTTCAGTTCTTTCTTTCTGTATCCTCAGCCAAGGAAAGACAAACCAAAAACAAACACCACACGTGAGGCGCCATCCAAACATGCAGTTAATAAGAAAGTAAAACATAACCACACCCCCAATAACTGGGTGAAGGGACGAGAAAAAAAAACCTCAAAGCAAAGAACACTCACTGCGTGAGTCCAAATCCGGGCGGCAACGACGCCCCGAACGACGACGGCGACAAGTTGGACAAGGACTTGAGCGACGAGGCGCCAGAACCCCCGGCGGCGTTCGAGTAAATCGACGAGGCGCCCTTTCCCGACATGGACCCACTGGACGACGCCCACGACACGTTGCTCTGCGTCGTCCTCGCAGCTGCTGCTGCTGCATTGTTGGCCATCTTGGCTTGTTGCACTGTTTATAAATAAAAAATAGTAATTCATCCTCATTTAAAAGTACAACAAAAATTAAAAATCAAACTCCATTAAAAATTTGATACTACAAATATTTCATAATGGAAAACGAGCTCATTTTTCCGACTTCCTTCCATCATCTGAGCACAGTACAGTATCAGGAATCTCGTGCTCGTTCTTTTGCTATTTGAGCTTCTTTTCATGCCAATAAAAAGATCATATGAGTCTCTTTTTTTCGTCTTTTGTTTTTTGTTTGGCGAAATCAAAAATCAACAAGGTGTCACAGGACAGGAGAAAAGAAAAACAAACACTCACGCATTTGTGCCTGTTGCTGTGCTGCCAGCATTTCGAAAGAGGCTCGGCGGTTGTCGCCCAGGCGCACGTACCTGCTCTTGCCTGGCCGCGGGCGCGAGTAGGGCTCAGCCCGGTCCATCAGAACACGCCGGTCGACGCTGCGGCGGTAGACGGTGGTGCGACGTAGACAATAAGAGAGAAAAAAAGAGAACAATCGTTGGTGTTAATATAGTACCAAGATTATTCAGCCTCTTTTCGAAAGACAAGCATCATGTAAACTCGAGAAGATTCTGTCATGGAATATTCCTTAGTGTCCTAATCCAGTGTCACCCAACCTGTCCGGGAATTTATTTACATACAATTTTTGCAGACTCGCATAGTTTTTCTTGAACGACTTTGTGGCAGATACTTGAACCGTTTCTGCTTCTTTGCAAAATCAAAGCTTCGTTGAAAATTATTTCAGCGGGTGGAAAATTTTCCAGAAGCGTTTTTAAAAGAAAAGGCGACTTTTATTTTTCAGGTAATTTCAGGTAATTCCAACTGCCATGGTCTTTCGAAAATAACAGATAACCATGGAAAAGTTCATTGCTACTTCTGAAACATTCACAGTATTAATTTATGCTGAAGAAAATTTCCCGCAGACCAGCAAAAAACCTTCCGCGAACCATGGGTCGGGGAACTCGGTCCTAACCCAAGTAAGAAATACCTAGTCACTGTTGTTGGGCTCTCGCAGCATTCCTCATTGATCGAAGCGAAAATTAATGGAATAAGAAAAAGTAGCCTACTAGAAAAACTAGGAAAATTTAACGAGTTTCCCCTCTCTGAAATTGTCATGCTTTCACCGGTTCTGCAATGTCTTCAACTTCAATTTTCTCGGCCAATCAAAGGCTTCAAAATCCTATGATCCTTTCCATCAAGTAATTGATCAAGGTCAACACACATTATCAATGAAAATACTGTATATTTTTCATGCGATTTGAAGTCTTTTATCTTTCCTTGATCTACGTTTCTAATCTTTAGTGCGTTGGTGAAGACATTCGTTGTACTCAATACATGTGCCTCATGGTTTTGCATTTTTGCAGGGCCACTCAGGTAACGTGAAGTTGGTCAGTACTCGATTTAGTAAGAGAAGTGAATTCAATTCATCAAATCCCCGGCAACAGTGGGATAAAAATCTCCTCCTTGGTATTTGATCAAACTTGAGTTGGTTGGAAGTCAAGATTTTAGAACTGTGACGGTTTTTTTTGGTGGAGAAGTCTTTATTTCTGTAAATCATCAATTTATTCAAGCAATGACGATAACAATTGTAAAGATCACACGAGGGCTACGCGGAAAAAACTCACGAGTCCAGGTCATGTTCTGCAAATTTTCTCAAGCATCCATTTCAGGTAACGAGAAAAGAAGACATACACTGGCCTGAAACAATTGGACGGTTTGAAGGAAGGGAAATTCAGCCTTCAAGCCCATAGATTGCATTTATGACAGCTGAAACTCTTGTGATCCTCGTTCCCAACTACAATTTTTTTTCAATTTTCGAAAAATAATCTCAGAGAGGCAGCAACTGCCATAATTCTGGCTATTCTTGTTATTGATATTTTGTTTTCAATGTCAGGGAAAGAAGGGGGTGTACGCATCAGTGTTACACATCAGTGGTGCAGTTGTACATTGTGAAATTTATTTTCTTTTCTTTTGGTACAGTATTTTTCTTTCTATTTGGTAAAAAAAAAAAAAAAAGTGTGTTTCCCATTCTGAAGTGATTGAATGCGTTTGAATGTTTTTGAGTTGGGTGGGGAGCCAGTTTGGATGTGGGAATGTTATTGATTGAACCTTGTGAATGGTGAAAAGCGGGAAATGAAGCTTTCTGTTTATTCATTTGAGAGGCAGCAAAAAAAGGTCGAGAACAGTTCTCGGGCTACATTCGAGTTTTTGTGGTAGGTCACACAAGAGCAGCACCGAAGCTATGCGTTTATTGTTTCGCTTTCTTTTTTGCAAGTCACTGCGAACTCTCACCGGAAACAGGAAGTGCCGTTCTTCCTGTGTTGTTCATCAGTTGTGTTCACACAACACCGAAGTTTCTGAACCCTCACTCCGGCAACGGAACAGAAAAATTGAAGGAAGTTCGAATGTACACTTGCCTAAAGTCGCATTCATTCGATGATCATACATTAGGATCTATTTATTTATTCCTAAAGTCTTCTCTCAGACTTACTCAAAATAGTCTATTACAGTGAAATTCCGATTTTTCCATCCCGGGAGTTTTTTTTCTTTCATGGGATCAATGTTTTGAAACTTTCGTTTAAAAAATACTTTTCTTTCATAATCTCAGGAAAATTATTCTTCACCTTGACGTGCGAAGGGTTCGTCGCAATTCTCGTAGATTGGGACAATATGGGAAAACCCAACTGGCGCTCAATTGAAAAACCTTCAAAAATATAAATTCCGATTTTTCGTACAGAAAATTTAGCATTCCAGGAAGTTTGAAGCTACAATCAAAATGCACTTGGATTTATTCTAGAAATGGCCAGTTTCTTCAAGGATAGACAGTTCGTTCAATGAATAGTGTTTCAATTAAAAGAAAATCCAGTTTTTGAAGAATAAATGATCTTCTTACACATGTATTCCTTTGTTTCAGCTCATACTTCAGTCATATAAGTAAATGTTTTGGAAAATTTCAGAAAGCGAAGGTCTGATACAACATAATTTTATTTCACATTTAAAATGTTCTCCCTTGTTTCGTCAGAAGAATTTGAAAATTTCGGCCTGTTTCCCAGAACATTTAAGCAATTTGAGGGGATGATCTAAAGTCCTCCAAATTGAAATTGTACGGAGTATCTGGGATTCGCTGCTTCACTCGACGGGACCCACGTCGCATTGCGAATATGTTCCAAGTCAAACAAACGCCGTCATCATGCCGACAGTCAGTCAAATTATTATTGAGAAAAAGGCAAAACATATACAATTGAATCTCGCTAACCTTGAACATCCGTAAGTCGAATTTTTTTCGAGTACCCGCCTAAATTCACTAAAAAACAAATAAACAATGCATTTGAAAGAACAAAAAAAAAAACTCTGTAACTCGCAGGCTCTTCCCCTCAGACATCCTCAACTCGAATTTTCTGATGCCTTCCGACTCTTATTTTCTTGACACATAAAAGAGAAAAGCAATAAAAAAGTAACTTGACGCGTTTTTAAGAGGAAGTGAAAGACCTAATTGGGCAAATGAACCCTTGCTTCCAAGTTCATCATCCTGTCAACTAATTCAAGAAGCAATTCAGGGCAAAGAGTATCACCATTCACAATTCCCTGCAAATTCTTCTATCCTTCCTACAACAAAACATGCTTGTTTCCCTCACTCAAATTTTCTTGCGGGTGGGTCCCTTGCAATTATTTAAACTATTTAAGCTGACCTTTTCAAAGTCCGTAGAGAGAGAGACAGAGTCGTCGTCGTCGTCGGCGGCGTTGCCCTAAGGAGGGAGTCTGCCCTAGTAAGGTGCAGAGCAGCACCCTTTGTGTTGCGAATACAGTACAGTATATCCGAAAAAATAAGCAATAAAAAATCCAATAAACGATGGGTGACATTCCCCCTTTCTCTTTCCTCTGTGTACTGCACGTCCAGTCGACAGTCATCCAACCAAGCACCCAATCGCCTTGTCCACCAAGCACAGACTCTCCTCCCTCCCATCCCCTCCCCCCCTCACTTTGGGATCCAAGTTGTTATTGGGGTAGCCCATTGCCTCCCTTTGTGCTCGAACTGGCAAAGTTTCGGACCAAGTGCGGTTCGCCGTTAGCTCTCTCCTTGCCTATTTTCTTCTTTTTTGTAATTTGCTCGACAGGTAATTTGCATATGCAGTACAATACAATATTTAAGGACTATCCTTCTTTTCTCTTCTTTTTTTACCCCTCAGACCACTCGTGAAGATGATGATGACGGCAGCGAGGGAAACAGAGCACACGCACGCGAGTGTTCCAACAATAAACCAACACACACACACACAATTGCAAGAAGACAGAGAAAGAGATTCCATGAGCTTGGAATTGCCACGAATACGACGACCAGTACGCGTGAAGCTTGAGCATCAGCAACGCAAAGAAAACGTCTCCACAAAATACTGCATTATACAAGACATCATTAATTTCTCGATTCAATAGTACAATTGAACCTCGAAAACTCGAGCATCCCGAATTCGATTTTTTTTTTCCAATCCCTGTCGGAATTTCCGTAGTAAAAATGCATTAAAAACCTCCCCAATTCGAAGACTTTCCCTTCTCCGGCCTACAGTGCAACACGAATGTTCTCAAGGTCTTCTCGCTATTATTCCATCGGCAAAAGAAAGAGAGAATGCAATAAAAAATGATCTCACACAGCGTCAAGAAGGGCCTGAATAACTCGAACCTCCAGAAGTCGAATACCTCATCATGCCATGCTTGTTCATGTCCCTGATGAAATTCCCCCACCAATGAAGATAACAGATTCATAGCTCGAATTTTCTGGGGCCTTTTAGCTAGTATTTTATAAACACGGGGAACAGAAAAGCGCCAAGAGTATAACTGGATGCGTTTCAAAAGAAGGAGAAAGCAATGATCGGGAAAATAAACCCTTGCCTCGCAAGTTCAGCATCCGGTCTACTCATTNTTGGGATCCAAGTTCAATAACCCCATCGGGTAACGGAGGGAAACACGAGCTTGACCGTTTCAAAGCCTGGTTCACGCCAAGCGGCAATCGAGAGAGGAACGGATAAAAGAAGAAAAAACATTAAACGAGCTGTCCATTAAAAAATGTACAATACAATGTATAAGGACTTTTCTTATTTTCTTTTCTTTTTTAGCCCCTCGGGCCACTCGTGAAGATGATGATGACGGCAGCGAGGGAAACAGAGCACACGCACGCGGGTGTTCCAACAATAAACCAACACACACACACACAATTGCAAGAAGACAGAGAAAGAGATTCCATGAGCTTGGAATTGCCACGAATACGACGACCAGTACGCGTGAAGTTTGAGCATCAGCAACGCAAAGAAAACGTCTCCACAAAATACTGCGTTATACAAGACATCATTAATTTCTCGATTCAATAGTACAATTGAACCTCGAAAACTCGAGCATCCCGAATTCGATTTTTTTTTCCAATCCCTGTCG